GGGATCTTTCTTGTTCAATTGGTTCGGGTATGGTCATAGCAAAGCTCATTTAAGTAAGTTTCCTTTGTTAAATTAATTAATACTGTGATGATTTGCGTCAGATGACCTCAGATGCCGATTGACAAATTTTTGAAGTTTGAAGTATGAATGAACACCCGGATAAGGACCTCCTGTAACTGTATTGTTTTAAAGTGGGACCACGGTATACAACTTAGTTCAAAGATTTACATTTGAGGTGTGACTAACGCAAATCGTCGTCTGAGGCACGAGAAATTCAGATTCTAATTTCTCCTTTTCTTTAGATGCAATTAGAATAAACTCGGACCGTAAGGCTGTACAAGAATTCTTTTCCCTAGAAAATGAAGATATTATTTGTTGGGAGTATGGTCAAAAAGCCGTATCTGTTCCTAATTATATGGTAATTCATGATCCAGAGACAAAATCTATAATCATATCTATACGAGGAACAATGGTACTTTAACACTTTCAAATATTATATCCACATCCAATTTTGAAATGCTAAATTCCTATTTTATATTAGAATGTTACCGACGTGATAACGGATGCATTAGCACATCATGAACCATGGAATGGAGGATTCGTTCACAGAGGAGTACTACGTAGTGCAAAATACCTTGTAAAGCATTCATTAAAAAATATTAGAGAAGCAGTAAAAAAATTCGAGTCCAAAGCTATACAAGTGATTGGACATTCGTTAGGTGCTTCAGTTTCATCAATTGTTACATTGTTATTAAGAGAACAATGTCGTGATTTAATCACTCAAGGTATTGATATACATGCATGGAATTTTGCTACAGCACCTTGCTGTTCATTGGATTTAGCTTGTAAAGCCGAGACCGAAAATTGTATTGATAATTTTGTTAACGAGAATGATGTTATACCAAGATTGAGTTATGGAAATTTAATGGATTTTAAAGAGTTGGTAAAATTTGCCGCTAGTGAATTGAAAAATGAGAAATACAAAAAGGTATTTATAAAAGAAAAATTTTCTTTTTATAAAAACAATCTTTATTTTGTACGTTTATTAATATTTTCCAACTGTAATGATTATAGTTAAGTTCAAAAGATAAATTGTCTAAAATCTTGACATCAATTGATGATTATCGAACCTGCTTAAAATCAAATTCTGCGACACAAAAATTATATATACCTGGTACCATATATTATTTATATAAAGGATTTTATAGAACACACGTTAATTCTTCAGTGGCATATTATACAAAAGATATTGTATGTGAAAAGTCTAAACCCGATTTATTTACAGATATAAGCTTACGTAGAAATTGGTTATTTCATCATTTTCCTGATAGGTATGATAAAAAGTTTAAAGGTGTAACAAAATCTATATTTAGAAAATTGCACGGAAAAGATCG